CCTGCTCCATTTGGTTATTTAGCGACTCATCTGCACTGAAAATAAAATAAGTTGTTTACTTATCTTGTCATAGACACTTATACAATAATAAATAACCAAAATAATAACTACTTTTCGCCCTAGTGTCGAAAACTATTATTCCATGTATAAAATGTTGATAAACATAAATATCTTGGAAAAAATGTTTGTAAATACATACTTCGTTTGGGGTTCTTTGATTCGCGATTTGGCAGCCGCCAGAAATAAGACCACCGATTTCTTTGGATCTGTGGATCTCCAATATTTCAAATTGGATGTCATGAAGTTTTTTTACGATAGTAATGCTTGAAACTTCTGGAAATAACAATTAAAAATATTTATTTTCACTTCTCGCTTAACAGTTATATTCTATCGTAAACTGCCTTTTAGTTTTATGACGTTGAAAGATACATTTAAATTACAACTAATAAATAATAGCTATGAAAGTTACCAATTGACTTACCATTTGAAGGAGATGGAGAGCCCCACTCACACGGCATGTGTTGAACAATTGGGCCCAGTTTTTAACGCGGCCTACTCTACTTACGGACGCTTTCCTGACCCATGAAAACCCAGCTTAACTATAATTTTGAGCGGCAATCTACAGGGAGTGGAGAGCAGGCCGAATCTAATGGTCTATTATCTAGTAACGTTAAACTATACTGAATTTCGGCGGCATTCCAAGTCCATTTTGACAAAGCAACATTTCGATAGGTTTGGTGTATTATTTAGCAACATATGTTATAGACAAGGAAGATACTCTCCTTTGTCTCTGGTAAAACCGACACCCAGTATACCAATGCGCATGGCACGCATTAAAACACGATTTAGCAGCAAATTGCACGAGGCAATCTCATTTGCGGCCATCTTAGTTGTGTTCATCTATGTTTGCGGCTTTAAGTACACGGTTTTCTAGAACCGAACTTTGAAAGTATATAAGACTGTATGAACGATCCATGTTTTGTCCCTGAAACTAGGGGCTTAATTAACATCCCGGGTACTTTCAGCGTAAAAATGCTTAACCGCTCTGTTGACTATCTGCTTAACCGCTCTATAATATTGAGATAATATTAAGGATTGCTCTTACTGTTATAGAAATGGCCACTGTGATGGCCACGGTTGTTCCCGTTTCTCGAGTTCATCCGTTTGCGGTTAGGTTGAATGTCTGGAATTAATCGCTTCATTGTTGCACTACACTCAAACTTAATAACTAAAGCTAAATTAATAGTTAATAGATCACAGATTACTGAATTAGAGAAACTAATAATCGGCTAAATGAAAAACTAGTATTGAATTACTAAAACCCGCCTATTCGAAAATAGACCAGCACCAGACCACCTATTCTTGACACTAGCGAATAGCCGCAACACAAGGTATAATAGCAGAGACAAGTCTTGTCTCTTTCTGTCTGAAGACTTGTCTCTGATAATAGTACCTGATAGTACCGTTGACGTTTCATCACTTAACGCTTCGTGGCGGTAGTTTTAAATAGTTATTATTTTGTCTGCATATAAGGAAAATTAACTAAGACTAGTAGTAAGAGCAAGAAACTCAAAACACTAAATATTTCCCAAACATCCCTGGGCAGACATCCTTTGATCTAACAGACTATAAAATTGTAAGGCTGTTTAGAAGTCCCGAACATCTTTGTACATAGTTGGTGGAGATGGTATTTGTTCATCAAGTGCTGAAAGAAAGCGGCTATATAAATGAAATTATTCTTTTACTTTCAATCTGGTAAATGAATATCCTTCAGCAGTTAAAATTGTATTCATTTTACTAGTACATTACCTTACCTCAATAGGGCACAGAAGCAATGAACCATGCTTGAAAAACAAAAACTAATTTTTAATAAGTTTTTGTTTTTATAAACGGTTTGGAAATAAATACGTACCAGCAGAAAACGACGTAATAAACGACCGTTTCTTAGCTTAGATAAAGACAAATACATGATTGTCTTTATCTATGCATGATTCTTATATGTCTGTCTCTTTTAAAACCAAAGGTTGGTACGAGTTCCGCCATAATAGTAAATAAATGACGTCAGCGAGCATGTCAGATCGTCAAGATTTTCTCAATTTTGATTGGTCAGATAAGCTGGCAACAGTGCTTGCTGGGACTGCGTGTTCACTGTCATTCCTTATCATTCAAGAATACTATTTTTTTCCGCTAGGGATCATGAGCGAGGAGCGAGTCCCTGGGATGCTCCCGGGGTTACTTCCTTCTCTCAAAGTCAGGAATAGACACACTGGAATCAGCTAAAATGACGCAGATTCCACTAAAACAAGGATCCACCGCCTACTCTACTACTTATGGGGAACTACCGAAATGATAAAAGCAGCGTTGCCAACAAACAGTGGAAATTCAGGTTGACCAACACAAATTTATTACTCGCGTCTAGTGGAAGCCCGAAACTCTTACATGGGCGACAATCCTGGCAGCTTTAGTCCCGGTGAATGGCGCGCAGTTTCAAAATTTACATTTAGGGTGGTGAAGTATTTTCCTTAAACAGATTGAACGAGCATATTTAAATAAATTGCATCCAGTATGTTGACAACTCTGGCGCTGTGTTTCTATATCATCATGGCTTCTTTGCGAAAAGTGGAAGTTTTTAATTAATTTCAATAAAAAAGGCATTAAGTTTGCTTATATCAAGCTCGCACTTAATTAACTAATTTTGTTCAGAACGACATTGTTAAAACAGGCTTGGAAATGCCTACATATATTAGAATAGAACCAATTAAAGTGTCTTTGAAGCAAATATACGAAGATAATTTAAAATCTAAGTTAATTCATGCAAAGTGCATGACAGTAGATTTGCAAATGTCATTCATTTGTTGGGGCTATCACTACGCGCGAATGAATTTATGTGACCGGACAACGCTGCTTTCTTACAACTTACAAATTCTCCGAATTTTATCAAAACTCCTGGGAATGACTTGGGGACAACTTCACTCCTGGGGACAACTTCACAAAACGTTTTCTGTTAATCGCTAGTGTATGTAGATACTAAGAAAAGTTTGTTCTTAATGTTTGTCAAACTTTGGTCGGTTCGCCTTAGTTTAGGTTTCAATTCTCATTTGGTTTCTATAGATTTCTTAACTTACCAACAAACTGATGTAAAGGGTTAAAAAAAAACAAGATTAACTCCAACTGGACTAAAGTGAAATTAACCCAAAGTAATCTCACTTAAAACTCCTTTGTGAAACAATGCAGTTTAAGTTTATTAAGTTCAATACCTGTTTCCGACATGAAAAATCCATTAATTTATGCGATTTATGGACAAAAATAATGAAAATTGATCAATTAAACAGCAACGTCGCTTTTCTTCGTTTCTTCTCGTAAGTTTCTTACGACAGGTACACAGTACACACTTGCGTCTACGGAGCAGTCTTACACAATTTATCTATGTTGTTGTAGGCAATTGGTTATACAGTAACGTGTGTAGGTAGAGGGCCAAGGTTTCCAAGGCCTATTTTCTTAAACCAGTTTAACGTCTGAAACTCAATTTGACGCGCGAAACGGATTTCACCAGAACCTTAAACTTTGTGCTTAAACGCGTTTAAAGAAACGAACTGGCCGATTTTGGGCGTTTATAGCTTTAAACGCCGTTTAAAGACTTGATCTAACCTCACTGTAAATAATTGTTGTTGTCGGTCAACCGAAAAATAATAAAATAGAAATGGCACGTAGGCCAGTTTATAACTTAATTTTCGAAGAAGTCTACGAATATTTTATTGTTACTTATGTACTTTGTCCTGTCTGTAATTGTGTCGCCGATAAGCCAACTTCTTGGTGCTTTGCGGTTTTATGTCACATAATGCATGCAAATTTCTGTTGGAGATTTTAAGGGTTTCAACACAACTACATTACATCCAATTTTACATAGGGTGAGCTCCGCGATCGAGCTGGTCTTCTAGCGTTCTGGGTTTTGTGAGATTCCAGCCGCGCTGTTTACCCCCATCAAAATCCTTCCTGACTCCTCCGCTTGCCTTGTTTATTCCATGAATTTTATAAGGGTCTGAAAGGCCTAATTTTCTACTTGTTTAAGTAACTTTTCAAATAGAAAATCTAATAAAAACGTGTATACCACTCATAAGCCATACACGAATACATAAATCGTGCATAAACAAAGAAAACTTTAAAATTTTACGGTTAGTTCGAGCAGAAAGTTTGGGTTTGATCACGACGTGGACACATGGATCACACACATTGACGTTATGGACCCAAATGCTGTCTTCATCTGTCTTTGTCTGTTGCAAAAGTTGTCTTCATCTATGCCCAAATGGTTCCTTGATAAGATGATTTTGGGATGAGAATCGTAATATTTCTCACTTTTGCAACGATGCCAGTGTTTCCAGTTTCTTAAACTGCGCTTCGTTAAACGCAGTTTGTAAAACGTGCCGAAGCGGTGGTGAAAACGGTCCGTCGTTAAACGCGTTTAATTTCRGCGTTTAACATAAACTTAGTTTCGTCAAACTGCGTTTCGCTTGTTTCTGATGAAAATGGGCCTAAGAAGTCAGTAAGGCTTAGGTAGGCCCTGCCTTAGACGCCGGTTACGGAACATAGGTTGGAAGTTTCGATCTGTATTTGAATCGAAACGCCACAGATGTTATGCGGTGAGATATAGCTGGCGTTTAGGTTGGAGCTGTTAGTTGAGAAGTGGCGGATAGAGTTCGTCACAAATACACTGGCGGCTAAACGTAGGAATACGATCCATTTAATGCGCATGCGCGGACTCTAAGCGAACACCGGTTTATTTTCAGATTTCCTGTTTCGTTGATTGTTGATAGAGGTTAGCATTTTCCTTAATTCGTGTATAAAGGCTACATGGTGTTCGAAATTCTTTTATACGTTACTTCAGAAAAATGAATATGGGTTGTTTATACCGCAATTAAGTCAGGCTCACAGCTTGGAAGTTTATGTCAGGCTCACAGCTTGGAGGATAAAGTGGTTATTGAATATGCATCTGATATACCTATGATTGTTTAAATGCACTTCAAAAAAATAAGATTTTAGACACCATTTAACGCAGAAACTTGTAATACAGTCAATGGTTGTACTAAAGATCCTGTAAAATCTACTCTTTTTGATCAGACGAAATGCAGGCACAAGCCATCAGTATAATAACATTTATCAATAATATGAAAGTACTAGGAACTGCACGCCTTATGCTGGGAAGGCCGAATTTCAGAAGAAACAGGCACCAATTTTGGAAGGTCGATGGTCTAATCTCTATACATAATAGATTTCAAATACAGAAAATTTTAAATACGAAACATGAACATGAACGGCATAGATTAAGAGTGAGATAGATAGCACCCACTCCACTGTTAATCACCCAGCTGATCAGCAGCTAAAATCTGCAGTTAACGCATGCGCATTAATGGGATAGTATTCCTACGTTTAGCCGCCAGTAAGAATACAGGTTGCCTGGTAACTTTGGCCCAATGGGAGAGCGCGCGGGTATACATCACAAGCTTGCCAGTTTAAATTATTGAATCTTAACGTCGAATCAGCCGACATTTCTAGAGTTTGATGCTCGTAGTTTTGGGTTTGTTCTCGTTTTAAACGCCCGAAGAGTTTGCATTGAGTAAGTTGGCAATTAGCTGGCGTTTCTTTATAATTTAATTGCTTAATAAGTATTTTTAGGAATACGTTGTAATTTACATTCTCTCACAGACAACCGCACGCTCACAGTAACAAAAGTTTCAGTTAAGGATATGCACTAGAGACGAGACACAAGCGAATAAATAAATTTATAAAAAGTGAAATGTAAGTACCTATTCATTTGTACAGACTTCATAAAATACCGGTGTTGCTTAATGATATGCGAATTGATGGGTGTGTTTGCACATGGAAAATTAGTGGTAGTTTGCTTCATAAATTATGGTGCAAAAATGTTCCTGTACGAAAATAACGGGTGCTAAAATTGTTCACCAATGGTTATTAGCACGATTTTAAGAATAATATATCTACAGCGGCAGCAAACCGATTTTAACTAGACTTTCAAAAATTTCTGATTTTAATAACGCATATGTTGCAAAATTGTGTTGTTGAAACAATAATTACATATTGAATTTGAAGTGTAGGAAATAAAATAAAGTAAGTTTTACACATTTATTTATCTAAATCTGCACATACAGGGTGATTCAAAATTGGCATCATTCTTTTAAGGGGTGATAGAGGCTCCCTTGGGGAGTGCGAGAAAAATATTGAAATTTTTTTTTTCGAAAATTTCTAGAAGATATTAACAGTTGAAGATCGAATTTTAACTTTGTTATTAAGTATTATTTTGAAATGGTTCCATGTTTAATTGGTAGCATATTGGAATACTTAAGCATTCAAATAGAAAAATTACAAAAAATTTTGATATAAAAAGTTCTCTTCTACAATTTTTTGAAAAAAGAAGCGCGAAATACCAATTTGCTTAGTCAAATGGGACTTACCCTTAAATTCGGGAACCACCTGGCACTTGCTAAATATAGTTTTTCTACAGCCAACAGTTCTGGCTAGACAAGGATAATATCTGCACACGAAATGGAAAGTTGGAATCAGCCGGGTTTTGTTCACTTAAAGTAAACCGAAGTGCGGTCCATAAACACAACCTGGATCACACAGAAGGTAACCGGGAGAAATGACTCAATACATTGTAGAGGTTGACTCAATCAACCTGTTCCATTCCCAAGGGATTCCTTAGAGGTGCTCCCTGCGGGTGCGCTTAGGGTCCCCCTAACAAGAGCACCCGCAAACAGGCAACTTTTGACGCTCGACAATTTAGCCGCCCGTCTGCTTGATCCCGTTCAGTCCTTTTAAACTCTGCGTCTAACCTTGAGAATAGAACAGCTTCTATCAGAGACAAGTAATAATGTATTATCCCTTGTCTCTGGCTTCCATCCTCGGCAAGTGTCGCTTGCATAGAACAAGGCTTGCAGACGCTAGTAGCGGCTACAAAAAGTCGCTCGTGTGCGGAACTGTTTTTAAAAATATTGAGTTCTATTTTCAGCGTCAAAACTGTTACGCTACAAAAGTCCCCCGTCTGCGGGTGCCCTAAAGTTTTTCATCTCGCTCGAAAGTTGGCGTAATTTAGACCACTTTTGTTCATATATAGAAATCAAGTCGTACAGTCCACAAATTTTGAAAGTCAATTTAAGAGTTACGAGATAATAATTGATTGTCCCTATACAACCCAACAAAACTGGTCCTTTTTGATCAACTGCCTTTAAGGAACAGGCATCTGAATCTGTTGTCGCAACTCAGCTTTTAATTGTTTATTACATAGCCAACTTTAACTGGATAATTCCAACAAACAAGTTTTAACCGAAATTAAAGACTTTAACTAATTAATTCTGCAGCCAAAGAAGACATTTTTATACAATTGCGTGTTATTTCAAATCAAAGCAGAGTTTACACTTCTCAATATTGTTTATTAAAGTCATTTGAATAATATTAATACATTTAAGCGTTCGTGTGCTGAGCCGATCACGCGTATTGATTAAATGTGACTAAAAAAACGCCGATTAAAAAATAAGGTGAAAACGCCAAACATGAATTATAAAATATAACTATCGAATATCTTAATGTAGTGGTCCTGGCCAGGCAGAAGAAGTTGCACCATCCATCTCAGTAGCAAGTTGATTGGTCCCTAATAGACGATGTCGAGTTCCTCCAATAGCTTCTCCACAAAAACACTTGGATTCCTCCATTGCTCCCCCGCAGTTTCCAATACAATAAGGGTGTCCATTTGGACATTTGAACCAATGTCCACGAGGAAAGCCCATGGCTTTAACAATCTGTACTCGCTCTTCCTCATTGATGCTTAGAGAACACTCGAGTTTCAAAGCTAATTTCTTTAATTGTGTTAAGAGCGTGCGGTCTAAATCATCGGAGTACTTCTTATGTCCAAACACAACTGTTTCGATGTCCAATGAAAGTGCTTTCACTTCTTCATTGGACTTGCATGCAGGAATAAATGCAGAACTTTTCCTAATTAAATCAAATTGCACAGCTTTTTGCAACCGTTTAATTTCAAGTTCCAAATCATCAATTTCTTGGTTGGTAATGTGGTCTTCTGAACGCATCAAAATGTCCAAAATTAAATTTAAAAGTAGAGTTGATGGATCGTCATTTTTAGGCGTATTATACTCCCGTTTAAAGCAGTTGACAATGTATGACAGAACTTGAATCTTGGATTCGATAGCTTTTAACTCTATCTTGTTGATTGGTTGAGAGCGACGTTCCCGTTCAGGTTCTAGACGTTTAAGCAGTTTACTAAAAGCCCTACTTAACGTATTTGATTTATCTAAAAATTCAATCGCTTAGTAAGATAATAATTGAGAATTGTATTAAATTACCTTCAAATATAGGATTTCGTGAGTTTATTGACAAGTGGAGAGTGCGGCGAAGTCGACCGCGAAATTCTTCGTTGTCTTCATGTGTTCCGTATGTCATCCACTTTGCATTTGATACATCTTGAATGGATCTTTTCACAAAATCACTGAATCTTTGAGTTGTGGTAATGTTAGTCGAACACCTATAAAACCATATCGGTAGTAGGCAAAAGGGTAAAACGATAGCAAACGTGTCTGAAGTACATGGTGCAGTGGCGCCTATGTTTAGTGTAAATATGGAAGTTTCTTTTCTATAAAGAGTCCCAGCAAACACAAATGATCCGTGGGACGTTCTATTTTGATCCCCGTTATCCCGCATGGGATGATTCTTTTTAGAATGTCCCTAGGACGTCTCTTGTATCGCACATATATCCCCTGCAGATCCCATGCGGGTCGTCCCAGAAACGTTATATTTTTGCTCCCAGGGACATTATGAATAGGACGTATATGTAGTAATAGTAAATGGCGCGCTCGAATGCCATGGAACCATAAATTTTCCTAAATAAAGGCAAAGTCGAACACATGTTGTCGTGCGGACAGACCGACCAGAATTTAATCAAATATGTGTTAATGTTAGTTTGGGGTAGTTATTACAAATATATACCGACTACGAAAACAATAAAACGCATAAATATCGTGTTTGAATTGGATTTTTGTTTTAAGTGTGCTTATTAAGACTGCTCATGACTGTATTTTCGTGCAGTGTTTATCACATTTCAGACTTAATTGTGAATATTTGGTTGAGTAAGTAGAAATCACTTTAGACCTTTATTCAGGTGGCATTTGGATCAAGGAACAAATAATTATTTATGCTGTTATCGTTGTTTGTCTCTTTGTCTCTCTACAAGCTGTTATATGTGAATTTTTAATTTGTGACTACTATTAGACCCAACAATAAGGCACAGGGGAACAACTGTACAATGTTTTTTTTATCCTAGTAGTACTTTCCAAGCCGTGAAAGAGATCTTTGACCAAAATGTAAAAAATGGTAAGATTATGGAGGGTTTCCAGCCTTTTCACAGGAAACACTTAGCAGTAACTTAGCCTGACCTGAGACTTTTGCCATAGTCTTGCGAAATGTGATTAATTCGGTAATCCAATACCAAACAGTTTTTTTTGCATCTCTCCTCGTAGCCCTTAATATTAAGTTTTAAGGAAATTGAACAGTGGTAAGTAGATACTTAACATAGCGGCGATTGGCTTTGCGTGAGAAAACATTAAATTAGGTACCGAAGCTCTGAACACATCAAACAACATTTAAATATGATCGATTCCAGATTTTTTCCTTCTCTTTCAGATTACCTAAATCCGGGGGTAGGTGGTAAACATTTTTGGAAAAGTCGTCGATATTGCCCTATGCAACAGTTCTTTTTTTAACGACATAATTGGTGTTTCTCTCACTTTTGTTTCTCCAAGTACAACGTGAGTTTATAATTTATTGCCGAGTTTTCGTCAATGATGTCCACATATGTTCTCTAAATATACGATACAGGGTGATTCAAAATTGGCGTCATTTCTTTTAAGGGGTGATAGAGGCTCCCTTGGGGCGTACGAGAAAAATATGGAAAAACTTTTTTTCGGAAATTTCTAGAAGATATTATCAGTTGAAGATCGAATTTCAACTTTGTTATTAAGCATTATTTTGAAATGGTTCCATGTTTAATCGGTAGCATATTGGAATACTTAAGCATTCAAAAAGAAAAATTACGATCTTAACAACATAACAACTGAAGTCGTCGTGATATATAGTTTCAAAGGCAAAAAAGTTTTCAAGAACTTTTTATTTGCAAGGGACTTATTGGTAAAATACACTTTCAGTTGGATTTATAAATGATAAAATATAGCCTTTTTATTTCAGATGGCTTGGTAAAAAATCCGCTTTTTATAGCAACCAGGAAATATATCGAAATTGAAATTCAAAATTGGCTCAGGCATGCGCCGGATAACTCAAAAGGGACAAAAATTGCAATTAACACTTTAATATTATAGTTCGGTTTCGGATAGAAGAGCAAATTTCGATTCATAGCAAAAATAAGTTTAGTTTGTAATACGTAAACGTATTTTGTTATTGGTTCAGTATTTTGTTTCTTTTAAATTGGTTCCACCCTAAATTTTCCAAATTATAAAGCTGCCTTCAACGTTTTTCGAAAGTTGAAAGTTTGAAAAATTATTTTTAGAAAGACAACCTAGCAATAATTTGACGGTTGACTATTAACCTAAGAACGTTTCACAAATGTCCTCGAAACAACCCGTCTATAATCCCAGTGATGTCCCAAATGACCTTTACGGGATCATCCCATACATGACCCGAACAGTCCCAAAAGTAAGTCCCACGTAAATATGGGGACGTCCCGGGACTTAAACCTATATCCTGTAATGCCGTCCGTGGAACATTTCAGGGACCGAGATGTGTTTGCTGGGTACTGTAAGTACAGTATAAAATCGGCGCATTGAGCGGTGAAATACTATTTTATGCTAAATTTTTCCCAAAAAGCCGAATCTGCTTTCAGTTAGTCTGCGATTTGCAAAATCCCAGCTAGCAACATTAACGTGTATGACGTAATTTATTGGGCATTTTTGGACTTGGACGTCATTGGAAGTATGTATATCTAACTACATGCAGACGTCACATTTCGGACGTCCAAATGGCGAAAATTTCAGACGTCTTTTGGACGTCATATCTGGCAACTAACTGACCATAAATAAATACAAATATTTTATCTGTCGTTTACTGTAAATTATGGATTCTCACAAATTCTGAAAGAACGGAAAACGACATATGTTTTCGACTACCTAATAGTTTATTCGCAATGGCCATGCATTTGATCCTACAAACCGGTAACAAAATAACAATAAACTCACTTTGGACATCTTTTGAACTGAATAAGATCTTGTGCTTCATTCATCCATGACTCAAGACCAGTACTCTCAAGGACATGTCCACAGTCCTTCAATAAAACAAATACCGCGTCTTCTTCACCTTCATTGCCGAAAAAAATTTCAGTTAATTTCTCATAGTCGCATGTTCTGCAGAGAGGCGGACATGGATCTCCACAAAATCCTACACACACGTGACCACACTTTAGGAGCTTCGTACATCTAAGAAACACCATCGATTTACAATTGGCTGAGTGTTTAGTATCAAAAAAATGAAAGATATTTTAATATCAAACAAGTACCTTTGTGTGCAAGGTTCCACATCGCAAATAAGTCCGCATGGGCAAGTGCACTTTAAATGCTTACATTGTCTCTCGCACATCTGTTTACATGGTGTACATGGTGCACCACATTTCTTTTTACATTTACTATGGGCACATCTCATTTCGCATGTCCGAGTGCAAGGTTTGCATGACTCTCGACACGGAGTCACACACTCGTGGTTGCACACGAGTGGTTGAGCACATTTCTCAGCACAACGTTTATGGAATCGACACTGAATACACTCGCTGCAAGTACCCGAACATTTGTGTTTGCATTTTAAAATAATGTTACATGGTTTCGAGCAATATTTTAACAACAACTTTGGATCACCTAAAAAATTAGAAGTGCTTGTGAAGTGTAAATATGTCTCTCTCTAATAGTCAATAATTTAAAAATTTGCCTTAAAAGCAAAGTTGAAGTTGCATCAGCAAGAACTAATATCTTCGAGAAATGAAATCGACATGTCCTTCCTGTATTTTCCTAGTAAGCTATAGCAATCTCGTAAAAAGGATTACTGAATAAAAGCACTTAAAAACAACAATTACAAATAGTTTTTAAATTTGCATTGACTTATATTATTTCAAATGAAAATGGTAACTCGACCATAAACAGTTTCATTGATAATTATTTAATAGAAGTCAAAATTTGTAATCTTCTCATATAAAAAATTAAAGTGCAAATATTCATTCTGGTCTTCCAATACTTCTGAATATTTATAATTGCTGTTACAAATAATTAAATTCTCGCAGTTACGATAATCAGCCCTGTGCTGTATCACCCACGTTAACTTTAACGTGCATGTTATCCGTCAAATACGTTATGTGGCTCCAACGGGTGTGTTGTATCAGTAAAACCTTTATATTATAACAGGCGCACGCTATCGACGAACGTTATATGAAGAAATAGCGCTTCAGAATAACAGCATCAAATTACATGCCGCTTTCGATCTTAACGTGCATGCCTCGAAGTTAACTTCGGGGAATAAATAAAACAATGGTGTTTAATCAGAGCGTAGTTTTGTCTTTAAGCTATAATTTGTTTTTAATTTAAAAGAAAAATATGTTCTTTGGTGGGCTTATAAGGTTAGCTTTATTAGAACAATTGGAAAATGGTCTTGAAAATAAACTTTATTTTCCTCTACAAACTCTATTAAATTTTCAAATTGTTTGCGGGTTGTTTTTGTGCCTTTTCTGTACATGCTCCATTGAAAGTGTTTGAGATGATAGGTCAAGAACAATAACGAACGAAATTGAAAGTGAATGCAAATCATAAACAAAGACAAGTA